GTTAGTGGGGGAGGCCGTTCTGGAGTTCAGCTGTGTCTTTGGAATTCCTAACCTTATTGCTCACCCCAAGGTTCCTGGGTCCTCCTTGAGGAGGAAGATCATCCTCCCTAGGCTGGTCCTATCTGCTGATGGCAGCAGCAAGGCGCCACTCCTAGGAAGAAGCTGGCCTGAGGAAAGGCACTGGGTGACACCCCTGCCACTAATGTCACATGCTGGCTGCTGACTGGTAGACAGGCTCCCAAGAAATGAGTCCTAAGAGGGAAAGCCCTTTCAGATCCTGCCACACAGTGCCCCTTATGCAGGGGATAGCAGTCATGAGGCCACAGGGCCAGGATCTGGGGATGAGTGAGGCCGATGGTTGCTGTGAGGGACCAGTGCATTAGCTTCTCTGTGAGGGACTGGGATCCTGGGGAGGGCGTGGGGGCACCTTCCTAATGGGAGTCATGGGCCACCTCTAGGGCGAGGCACAGCTGAGCTGGCTGTATTGTCTCCCCAGGTCTGGTTATGAGGCTAAGGTGACTGAGATCACTCAGGGAAAACTAATAATCTCATATAACACATGTGTCCACCCTGCCTTTTGATACTTTCCATTGTGGAGTTTATGAGATAAAATTCATGTCCCTGTTCTCTTGCACTGCAGGTGCAGGCTGGGGGATGGTGGGTCTGCCTAGGACTCCTTGAGATATGGAGTGCACAGCCTCAGCCACTGGCCCTGGGAACACATGGCAAGTGCTGCAGGGATGGCAGGTGCCAGCAGGCCTCAGAGCATCTTGGCCCACTGAGCAAGGCCACACAAGCAGAGGGAAGGCCCAGTGATCCCAGGGTGTGGAGGTCCATGGTGGTCACTGTTGTAGTACAGCACAGGGTGGTCTGCTGCATCTGGAAGGGCTGTTGTGGCAGGGACATTCCCGGGCTGATGGCCTCCCAGCCCAAACCACCCCCACCCTTTCTGTTCTGCTTCTCACCCCCCAACTTTGTCTCTGGACTCAGGTTTGTGTCTTCCTTTCTAAATATCATGAGGAATATGGCCTGGTCCAGGTTCAGGTCTGCTCCCTGGGAGTTTCCCAGGCTTGAACTTCCTAGCCCTGGAGATTGGGTGTCAGAGGACAGTCCTGCAGTGAAACCAAAGGTGGAGCAGGACCTGGTGAATTATGGGAGCAAAGCTAGGGAGCATGTGGAATTACAAGAGGGGCTCTGGGCTCATGCCCAGGGCATTATCCTTTTTTAAAAAATGTGGTGAAGAGTTGCCCAAGGTTGTTAACTGGGGACTAGGTCTGATCTAAGTTTTCAAAAGCTCCCCTGAGGCCATGGCCAGGGGCATTAGGACTGGAAATTCAGTACGTATTTTTCCAGCACTGGGACTGCCTCCCAGCTCCCCTTTTGCCCCAGCTGAAGTCTGACAGTCCCTGCAGCCGCTGCTGAACCCTGAGGGCTCCCCCAGTCTCCATCTTCTCCTTCTCTTCTGGGGTTCTTGTCCTTTTCTGCTTTCCCTTACCTCTGTCCTACTGCACACCTCACCCTGCATCGTCTCCTCCCAAATCCCTCCAGGTTCACCACTTGTGGGCTTTATATCACAGTTTCTGTCTCTCCCTCCTGCTGCTTGCCTCCTCCTTGGGACTCTCTCTGTCCCTTGTCCCCCAGTATCTCTTTAGATTGGCTATCTGGGAAATGGAAACCCTGGATATGCACAACTCAACTCCTTTCTTGCTGCTCTGGGGGAGGCTGCCTGTCTTGACTGCTTCCTTTGTGGGCTGCCTTTGCCAGAGGGGCCCAGTCCGTATCCTAAGCTTGCCAATTCTAGAGTTGAGTTTAGTGTCAGTTTAAAATTTAGTGCTAGTATCATGATGGCCAAAGCCCACAGATAAATGCCTTGTCCTCCAACAAGGGCTGAATGTCTGTGTCTCCCAAAAATCCATATGTTGCTGGCCTAACCTCCAGTGTGGCATTAGAAGGTTGGAACTTTGGGAAGTCATTAGGTCATGAGGGTGGGCCCGCCATGAATAGGATTAGTGCTCTTACAAAAGAAACCCAGAGACCTCTCTTGCTGTCCTTCTGTCATGTGAGGACATGGAGAAAAGGTGACCATATGCAATCTGGAAGAGCACCCTTACCAGAACCTAATATGCTGGTGTCTTGATCTCAGATTTCTAGCTTCTAAAACTATGGGAAATAACATTTTCTGACTTATAAGAAACCCAGTCTATTTTACTTTGTTACAGCAGCCCAGACTAAGACATCTTGTTAGTAATACAGGGTGATACTTTGGGTTCTACCTCTTACTACTTACTTCTCACTTGCTGAACCCTCATTTGTTGAACCCTCAGAAAGATGCCAAAATGAGGGTTTCTACTTGTCTGGAGAGGTCACAGCCTGTTCTCACTTACTTGCTTGTCTCCTGTGTGTTTGCAGGATAGGTGTTTTCACCTGTTGTTTTGAAAATGAAGAGGAAAGGACTTTCCCTTCCAAGAAAGAGTAGAAGACAACATCATGCAATGATATTGCTGCAACAAGTGGAGAAAACAATTACCCCAGGGAGACAGTATTATAATGACCTTAGCACTGTGGATGCAATGGGGACTAGATAAAATAAGAGATGAGAGAAGAAAGACCTCCTTCCAGGGCTGGTGGGATAGAGACCTGCTAGACTTTCTGCAAAACATCTGGGCGGACTCATGTGAAGAACAGGAAGAACAAACCAGGAATGACTCAAACTAACTAACTAAACCCAGCCCCCAACTCAGCTTCCTTCCTTGTGGATTGAGTTAATCAGCTCGCTCCTGTCAAGTAGCCAGAGGACAGGGTGAACTTCTACATCCTCCAGAGTTCTTTGATACACACTGTCCATCACACATTAAAAAATTTAGAGATACATGAAGAGACAGAAAAATGTGAACAAAAACTTTTTAAAAACTGCAGAAGGGGTCAAGGACTTTAAAGTTAATAGATAAGGACTTCAAAATAATTACAAAAATATTTTAAATAAAATAGAGGAAAAGATGATAAAATAGATAAAGAGAGAATTGAACAGAAAATTGGGATCTAAAGCAATTAAGTGGACATTCCAGAATTGAAAAATGTGGTCTCTGAAATCAAGAATTCTCTCAGACAGATCTAATGGTAGCCAGACATAGCAAAAGGCTGATGAGTGATGCGAAAGCCAATGAGAAGCTTTCAAACTGAAATACAGAGAGAAGAGGATGGCAAGAACAAAGCAGAGTATGAAAGACACCTGGGGAAGCATCAAGTACCTAGCACACGGGGCCCCAGAGGAGAGGGCCAAGGCTGGGGCAGAAGCAATAGTTGATGATGCAGTGGCTGAGAATTTTTCAAAACCAATTAAAACAATCAATCCACTCATTCTCAGCAAACTCCAAGCAGGATAAGTACAAAGAAAACCACACTTAGACACATCATGGTCAAACTGCTGAAAACCCAAAACAAAGATAGAGTCTTAGAACCATTTTTTAGAAAAAGGCACATCCCCTGCAAAAGAGCAATCGTAAGTGTGCGACTGAATTTTCAGTAGAAACTCTACATTGTGGGCAGAATAATGTCACTCAAAGATGTCCAGGCCTCAATCTCTGGAGGCTGTGATTATGTTACCCTACATGGCAAAAGAGACATTATACATATGATTAAGGATCTTTAGATAGACTGTCCAAGCAGGCTTAGTGTTGTCACAGGATCCTTATAGGAGGGAGCAGGAGAGGCAGAGTCAGAGAAGGAGATCTGAGGATGAAGCAGGGGGGAGGGACACAATGGCTGGGGAGGGGACATGAGCCAGAGAATGACAGCAGCCTCTGGAAGCTGGAAAGGCAAGGAAACAGAGTCTCCCTAGAACTCCTGCTAACACCTTGATTTCATGTGGCAACCTGAATCTAGAGTGGTAAGATAATACATTTGTGTACATTGTACAGGTATATTGCGTACTTCCTGGGTGAAGGAATCAACTACAGCTTGGACTTTAACCTTACAAAAGCAAACTGTGTAACCTAATCATACATGTACCCTCATATTAATCTGAAATTGAAAACAAATTTGTTTTTTTAAGTCACTAAGTTTGTGGTTATTTGTCATAGCAGCAGAAAGAAGCTAATACACTACAGAAGTCAGCACACTGTGGAATGGCGTCTTTCTGAGGGGCTACATAAATGAATAGATTAGCTATCACTTTGGTCATTAGACCCCTTACCTCTCTCTGCATTCTTAAAGTTTGGGGATCCCATCAGCTAATCACAACGAGACCCTTGGATGCAAGCTTTGATAACTCAACCTGCCGTAGAGACAGATGAAACTTAAATCTCCTGTCAAACCTTAGCACTTCTTCTTCCTTTTTTTTTTTTTTGGCTGGGGCTGGGTTTGACCTCTCCACCTCCAGCATATGAGGCTGGTGCCTTACTCCTATGAGCCACAGGCACCACCCCTTCTTCTTCCTTTTGTTTTTTCTTTTTTAATTTGAGACAGAGTCTCACTCTGTTGCCCAGGCTAGACAACAGCCTCAGCCTAGCTCATAGTAACCTCAAACTCCTGGGTTCAAGTGATCCTCCTGCCTCAGCCTCCCAAGTAGCTGGGACTACAGGTGCCTGCCACACACCTGGCCAATTTTTCTCTTTTTAGTAGAGATCTTTTATGGGAAAAGATCTCTTTAGATCACTCTTGCTCAGGCTGCTCTCCAACTCCTGATGTCTAATGATCCCTCCAACTCAGGATTACAGGCCTGAGCCACTGTGTCCAGCAACCCTAGCACTTCTAATAGAAGGTTATTAAAAACAGAAGGATAACTAATTAATTATAACTAAACTCTAATAAATATAATATTGCCATAATATAATATAATTGTAAATTATAACTAAATTAATTTATAACTAACTAATGTGATTTTGTCTTTTTTCACATTTTCTTATCCCAGTTTAGCTAGGAGAGGATTCAGATTATTATAGCTCAATAATAAGACTCAAAAAGATATTAAAGACTCAATAAGAGATTAAAAAGAGAAAGTAATACTCCCCTGGCAGAGGAGACACTGTGATCACGAAGGTGTTTTCCCAGGGCCAGCTTGTCCAGTGCACTGCTGATATGCTGACCCTGCATATCCAAATGCAGGAAACTGGACCATGTAATTTTTGGTAGTGGGAGAGTGTGTCGATGCTTTCCCCAATATAAGTAAATGAATCAATAAATAAACAAATAATTTTCAAAAAGAGGAAGAAACAATGTTTCTTGATATCCAGGAGAAGCTTCTAAAACCCCCTTTAGAAGTAAGAGTGAGGCTTTCAATGGTAAGAGTCAGGTACATGAGAGATAAGTCTTCTTACTCCCCAAAGACAGAAAGACAGAACATAGAGTGCTATTTTGTTTTGTTAGGGTACAATACACATAACGTCGAGTTCATCTATTCAGCTATTTTGTGTGTGCAGCTCAGTGGCACCGAGTCCATGCACACTGTTGCACAACCATCACCACTGTCCATCTCCAGAACTTCTTCATCTGCCCCAAACTGAAACTCTGTGCTCATTAAACATTACTGCCCATTCTCCCAGTCCCTACCCCCCCCATTCTGCTTTCTGTCAATATGAAATAGAGCACTTTGCTTCTCAGCTGTAGAAAGGGAAGGGAACAGGGTATAACGGGTGGGCAATTTCCTACCACATAAGAATGCAATAAACCCCACTTTCTCAGGCTGGAAGAAGAATGTGAAGAGAATCCAAAAGAATCAAGGCTTAAGTGTGTGGCCTGTGTCACTGGAGTAGGAAGGAAAGGAGTAACCCCAGCAGGCTGGGCAACCAGAACAGGGGTGGCTGCCTCACATCCCACCAGCCAGAGGGCCCTGTCCCTGACCCAGGATTGCCCCAGGCTGCCGAAAGACTAAACATTTCTACAGACATCTGGACTCAACCAAACTGTAAACTCAGTGTGACTACATTCTCCAGGATGGATGAGGTTAATCTTTTCCCACTACTGAGTAGAAATGAGACTCTAAAACAAATGGAGTTCAGTTGTAGAAAACAAGGAAAGTTAAATTTCCTAGCATCTGTGTCTTAATTGTAAATTTTATACCTGCTACAAATACCACAGCCCAAGAGATTCCTTCCAGTCGCCTGCAGGGTTCAAGGCCAGTGTCCCTTGTTCCCCAGCTGTTTGGCCCTGAGCTGGGTGGGGCCCGCACACAGGCGCGGCAGCCCTGTGTTGAAAGCTGTTTCAGATTTCTCCCCTGGCAGAGTGCCACACGCACATGTTGCAGTCCCTGCCGGCAGCCATGCCCAGCGCCTCCCAGACTGCTCAGACCGCTCGCACACGCCCACTCCTCCTCCAGTCCCTCCCTTTTCCTCCTACCACCCCACCTCTGTCTCCTGCTCCAGGAAAAATATTTTGACATTGCATGTCCGTCCTGTCACGAAACACACACAGAGGACAGAGGACGAAGGCAGGTCCATCGGAGCCTAGGCGACCTCAGAGCAGTTCATTTGTACAGCCAACTAGGGGACATGGGTTGCATGTCCACCACCAGCGTGGAGAAAGTGGCCCACGGATCATAGCCCAAGGGACTGACTAGGAAGTGCTGGGGATTTGCAGACGTGGAGAACATGTAGGTCTGTGTCTCTGATGTTTCTCTCACTTCTCCCAGACGTGACCTCCTTGAAGGCAGGGCTGGGCTTGGCTATTTTGAGTCCCTCCATCTCATCTGTCCTTGCTGAAAAGACCCACTGCCCATCTCCATTCCTCAGTATCCCCCTAAACATTGTAGGCTCCTGTGGTTCAGGCTGCTGTGGTGCAGAGTGCAAAGTAGTGCGGTTTAACAGTCAGAAATTGTCAGGGGTGAATTCCACTGTTGGCTCACATTTCCCCCAAAGATCTTAGACAACAAAGTCTGTGGAACACTTCTGCCGTCCTTCTCACCCCACTCACCTTCAGATGTAGAGAATAAAATAGTGCCTCTCTCTCTCTCTCCTAGTCCTTCCTCAGGAAGTCCTTGTCTTCCTCTTCCTCCCCCCTGCTCCTCTCTCTGCCTCCTTATTTATTCATTTTTGAGACAAGGTCTCACTCTGTTACCCAGGCTAGGGTACAGTGGTATCATCATAGCTCACTGCAGCCTTGAACTCCTGGCCTCAAGTGATGCTCCTGCCTCGGCCTCCCAAAATGCTGGGTTGACGGGCATGAGCCACCGCTCCCATTTTGTCTTCTGTGTTGACCTTACTGCTCTCTCGTATCTCTTGGGTCCCGGCCTTCCCCATCCAGTTTGCTCAGAGGTGGCTTTGAGTAGTTTCTACTCCCTCGAACCTTACCTTTTCTTTTCTAGAATCATATAGCAGTGGATGTCCATGAACATGCTGATCGTGGGGATTCTCGAGGTTTCTTCGGGCACAGTTGCAGAGTGTGCCCTGAGGTCCTAAATCCACCCCTTCTTGACCTGGCCCAACCCGCAAGGCAGAGGCTGGCAAAGGTGGAGGAATGAGAGGTGGAGCTGTGACAACTGGTGGCCTTTTTCCTATAAAGGGGAGAGGAGACAAGGTTTGGCAGGTCAAAGGCAGGCTGGGCTCCGTCTCCCTAGGGTGGGGAGGTTTGCTTCTTTCCCACGAACACCTCCTTCTTTCCATGACCCTTAGGTGCAGTCAGGCCTTGTGCAGGAGTGAATGTCGCTGCCAACAACTTCAGCTGTGGCTTCAGGGACAACCGGGGTCTGCAGGAGTGCTCTTCCGGGGGAGCCACCTAGCACCCAGAGGCAGCAATGCCCCTGGAAGGAGGGGTGGTCAGGTGTAAGGGTCTTCAGTGGGACTTGGAAGAATCCAGAGTTCTGTGTGAAGCTCCTTAGCCTTTGTGATTCAGAAGGTGAGAAGAAGCTGCCCAGCAAGCTGAGGAAGAAGCTGAGAAGATGTGGTTGACATTTGCCTCTCGGGCTTCTTGCCTCAGTGCCGGGAGCTGTTAGAAACGTGTTTTTCCTGGCCCAGGAGGCCTCCCCATGTGGGAGGTCCCCACACCGACCACTAGCAGAGGAAGATGGAGCTGCCTGTGTATCATGACTTCTGTAAAGCCATTCAGAGTCAACCTTTAAGTCATCTCAGATGGGTGACCCAGATGTGGGACACTTGGGACATTTATGGCAGATTATGATCTGTGGGTGGCCTCACCAACAGACTGATTTTTCTTCATTGCATCCATATTAGCGTAGAGTTACTTGTGCCTGGTTTAGCACATCATCTGCTCTTTCATCTTTCTTCTTTGTGAAATTGGCTTTCTCGGCCAAATGATGAGGTGCCTGTGAGCAGATCCTCTGCCTCTTATTGCATTTATTCTTTTAACTCACTTCATCTGGGCACTGGCTGTGGGCCAGACACTGTCCTAGAACCCAGGGACACAGCCCTGAGCAGACTAGAGTTTCTACTGTCTTGGATGGAGCTTACCTTTCTCTTTTTTGGAATCATATAGCAGTGGATGCCCATAAACATTACGGTCTCGGAGATTCTTGAGGTTTCTTTGGGCAGAGTCACAAAGAAGCGTGCCCCAGCCTGCACTGGCTCCGTGAATTTGCCTTTGGTTTCTCCTTGTGGAGGCTTCTTTCTCTATCTGTGTTGACACATCCCCTGGAAAAAGACCCCCCTCCCTAGGCCTGGGCCTTGACATCTGATCCCTGGCAAGGCATTTGAACTTCCTAAGCCCTTTTCTCCACCTGTATGATGATTTCTTATATGACAGGATTGTTGTGAGTTGTAAGTGGGGTAAAGCACATGGCAAGATGCAAATGTCCCTTATTATTGCAGCACAGTCATATTCAAAGATAAATATTCAGGATCCTCCTTCCACCTCTCCCATCATGTTCTTATTGCCTTGATTCTTCCGGAGGTGTCTTTTCCCTGGAAGAGAGAGGATGCAGCAGAATACAAATACCAGGGAGTCCAACCAGCTCTTCACTTTGAGGTTTCAAAATAGACTTTTAAAATGTTTAGAAGAAAAAAATAATTATGCGAATCAAGATGTTTTGCTACTTAAGAGGGAAGCTTTTTGAAAGTGAAATGGTTTACTGAGTTTCACAGAGAAACTGAAAAACTCCAAAGAAATTGGAGCATAAAGTTTATAGCCGAAGAGAAGAATGGGAAGAGGGCAGGAGAAGAGGCCCAGTGAGCCAGCCGCCATGAAGATAGGATCCACGTTGCCAAGGCAGAGGGAGAAGGGCCAGAAGGGAGGGACAGATAAAGAAACCCCTAGATGAGTTTAGGGAAATCGAAGGCAGGGATGTGGGAACAGCAGAGTAAAGGTCTGGCTTTGGTCTCCTGGAGTTTTGCAGAGACTGGGGGAGCAGGCAGGCCTCTTCCTGTCCTGAGATAGTAAGCAGAGAATGGGAGCTAGTGGCCCAAGTGGGTGGCTCATTCTCACATGACAAGAAGACACAGCCATCGGTGGCAGAGTGGGCTGGGCAAGCCAGGCACCAGATGGGGCTCCATTCGATCCCATAGACACTGACCTAAGGAAGTGGTGGTTGCTTTGATAGATACCAGTGGAAATCAGTGTTGGTGGCCAATGCTGAACCTGGGCGTCTCAGTAGGGGCCGTCACAGGTTGATCTTGTTAGTCAGGTTAGGATAGGCTCTCCAGTGGCAACTTGTAACAACTACACTCTAAGACTTAATAGTCTGATACATGAAAACATGTGTTTTTCATTATGGTCTAATCTACTGCCTGTCTGGAGGTCTCCTGAGTAGTTCCCTTCTCAGCAATGGCTCAGGGTCCAATTTGCTTCAATTTTGGTTTTGACTTCTAGGGTGATCTAGAAAAATAGATCTAGAACACCACATGGGGGGGCTTCCTTAGCAAGAACATCATAGCCGTTGTTTCTCCCTACAGCCCCTTGTCCAGAACTAATCACATGACCCCAACCTAAATGCAAAAAAGTCTGGGAAATGCAGTCTTCCCTGCGCCCACAAGGAGGGAATGGAATGGGCCTTGGGAAAACCCAGCATTGTCTCTCTATCACCATTGTATACCAGGCATGTCCTGGACACAGTGATCTGCAAATTCCCTGTGGAACTAAGATGTCATCTCAGGGAGAAAACCCTTCATTCCAACAAGCTTTAACCTAAATTGAGAAATCGCTGAATTTAATTTTTTTTTTCATGAAAATGACTAGGTTACTTTTTTTTGTCATCAAGGAGAAATGGGAACTA